ATCGGCCACCTGTTTGAACTTCAGGGAGACAGAGTGATCTCCAATTAGCTCCTCCACACCTAAGAGTATCTCTTCTTTCCACAGGGTCACAATCCCTCCCGAGGAACCCCATGAAGGAGCAGCCACCCACTTAATACCTCTAGAACTCCACACACTCCTTGCCCAGCTGCAATCAAAATCCATTCTTTTGGACTCTTGAAGCATAACCACATCCGGATTAAACTTCTTAATTACCTTTTTGATTGTTGCTCTCTTCCTAATGCTGCCCAACCCCCTCACATTCCAACTTAGGATTCTCATTGAAAACTATAAGCTTTAATATTACCCTTGAATGTGTTCTTCAATGTCTTATGACTAGTGTTTTAAAAGGTGTGCAAGGTGTATGCTTGGAGGTGCCCCCAAAATACCCTGAGGTCCACGTTAGGTCTTAAATTCTTAGTTCTCACACAAAAATAATGATTTTATAGTTTTAATTGCTTTTTAGGAAGATGTTTTATTAGGATGAATGAATGGACAACATGACCAAACGTGGACTTGTTTGGGCTTGCCTCGGGGGGCATGACATGGGGGTCAAAGGGTAGAGCCCTTGGCCTAGCCGCTAGACACAAAAAAAGCAAAAAAGCGTCAAATTTTCAAAAGGCACACGCCTGGGTTGAGGCACACTAGGTGTGCGCCTTTTGAAAGGGCTGTGCCTAGGACCTGGGTGAGGCGCCTACCCTAAAATGCGCCTCGCTTGTTTGCCTAGTTGTGCCTTTTAAATCATTGGTTCCAACTACACCCAAAAAGGGAGAAAATCCATTCCCATATAGTTTTAGCAAAAAGGCAAGATACCATTAGGTGGTAACCAGATTCCCCATTAGCTTTGCAGAGAGCACACCTATGTGGGGATAAATAAGTTTTGGGCCTCTTTCTTTGAAGCAGATCACTTGTGTTGAATCTTTTCAGAAAAGTTTCCCAACAAAAACACCTAACCTGAGGAGGAATGAGCTTACACCAGACCTCTTTAACAGGAAAGGACAAACCAAGAGGAGTAGTTTTTTAAGTTAAGGTTTTAAAGAATGCGGTACAAGAGAAGGAGCCCAAGGGAGATGAGTCCAAATTCTTCTGTCCTCCTTTGAAGGGTTCCAACAAACATTTTCGAGAATGGCCAAGAGAGTCAAAGTGCAACCTAGTTGAGTGTCCTTGACAACCCTTCTCAGGCCCAGGTTTTACCCAAAACTAGAATCCGAATCGGAAGGAACAAGGAAGAAATCGACTAATTTTTCAGGTTAGACATTGCATACAAGGATGAAAATTGATTCATCAATGGAGAATCCCCAACTCGAGTTTGTTCCCAAAATTTTATGAGGTTACTTGAGTTCAAATCATACCTGATCCAAGGGGAGAAGACTAGAAGTAAGCCATGAATGGCTTTCCATGGAGAAGCACTTTTAGTCTTTGCCAGAATTTTAGGATCTCAACCATTGTTCTCTAACCCATGAATGCTAGCCACTATCTTAGAGCCTACTCGTTGGCTTTGACGTCTGACATCTGAAAGTGTAATAATTACATTAAGATGTATATTGGTATTGGTGAACTTTTCATCAAATGTCCATTTTAATCCCATATATGAGAACTTTTGTTTGTGTTTTGGGGGTATCATTAGAAAACAAAAAGTCGTAAGATTCTCCTTTAAGAGATAAGAGATAAGAGGAGACGAACACCCATTTTCCTCTTAAAGTTATAAGGTTCCTCTTAAGAGATAAGAATTAAGAGGAAACGAATAGATCCTTAGCTTACAACTTTTCCTTTTCTAATGGAAACCTCCACAACCACTTCCCCATTAATGCCATATTTCTTTTCCTAATATTCCCAATCCCAAGACCTCCTAGCTTCTTACTTCTAGTTACCACCTCCCAACCGACCCTATGGTTAGGGGTGATCATGGGTCGGGCCGGGCCTGCGTCGGGCTTTGCACTTATGATAAGGGCTATAGCTTAGGCCTGTGCCTGACACATAAGCCCTAGCCTAGGTCTATACGGGCCTGGGCCGGGCCAGGCCTAATTCCGGGCCAATGTCACTCATATATAAAACATTATATTTTTATAATATTTAATAAATGACATAACATGCATATAAACTTATTTTATACATTATATAATATAAAATATTATATATCTATATATTAAATGACATAACATGCATATAAACTTATTTTATACATTATATAATATAAAATATTACATATAATATAAATTATACATGTCATGTTATAATATTTATATATCAAATATATAATATAATGTAAAATAACATGTATACATATGTATACACTATACATAAAATTTGTAAGTTTAAATATATGCAGGCCGAGCTGGGCTTGAAGTATTAAGCCCAAGCCTGGCCCTAAAATTTGCGGGTCTGATGTGGGCCTAGGCCTGGAATTTCTGGGCTGGGCTTGTGCGGGCCGGGCTGAAATGATCACCCCTACCTATGGTCCATGTTTTCCTTTCCAGGCTCCCACAAGAAATCCCTCATTAACTTTTCAAATTTATATTAGTCCTTTGTAGGGATCTAGAACAGTAACAGGAAATAGATAGGTAAGTTAGCTAGAGTAGACCTAGTCAATGTAATCCAACCCCCTAAAGAAGTATAGTTCTTTTTTCCAAGAAGCAAATCTTTTTTCAAAATTTTCCACCATCGGATTCCAAAAGCTTCCTTTATTAAGGTTATCTCTTAGGGGAAGGCCTAAGTAATTCAGAGACCAGTATGAAATTGCACATCCTAAGATACCTGCACAATCCCTTAACTCCCTTCCCTCCATATCACTCCCACTATGCAACTTTTCTCAAAGTGATAGGATCAGCTCCTTTGTCGGACAAAGTGAATGGTAGGTCTTACACTCTCTCTGATGGAAACCTAAATTGCCGGTAGTGTATTTTAACTGTGCTTGAGATTTGGTTTTGCAAAATATATTTATATGATATATATATATTAATGTTTTGTGAAAAATGTTTGCAAAACTATCTGAATAGAGAGTGTGACACTGCACCTTGTAGCTAAGGGATAGGGCCTTCCCTATCGGGTAGTGTTGTGATCATTATGGGTCGAGAGGTTAAGTGTAAGAGACAATTACAAGGCTGATTACCTGATGGGCTTTATCTTACTTAAGCCCATTATTCTTGTGTCTTCATTGGATGGCTGAATTCAAGGATCATTTAGGTGTAAATGTTAGGCCCATATTGAGCCCATAGTGATGCGCTCACTGCGTTTAGTAGTGAATTTGACCAAACCTTTTTACAGAGGTTGGGTCGAACCTATGTGGACTTATGTGAGGTCATTGTGGAGTCCCATGCCATACAAATCAGGCCTAAGTTGGCCATGCAACACCCTTGGGTTGTGAGCCTTATAGCTGATGGGCTTAAGGCTCATCCCATAATTAATATGATTAATTAAGTTTTGTATCTGGGTATGGAGCACCTAATCTTATAAGAAAATAATGTTTATCTCTAATTAGAGTCTTGATCTGATTTAGATCTGGATTATCTCCTAATTAGATTAGGAGATAGCTCCATAAGAGATTATAAAAGAGGAGGGGGTGGACCAGTTAAAGACAACTTCATATTTTTGCAATTTCTGGTTTTATCTGCACCCTTTTGTCTCCCAGTTTTTTCTTAGTTCGACATCAGCTATCAAGGACTGATAGAGATCAGTTTTTTTTTTTTTTTTTGACTTTTTCAAGAAAAATTCAAAAGAATTTCGGGCTCACCTTCCCAAGTTCGATTCAAGCAGTTAGTTTGTAGTTTTGTTGAAAACCATGTTGCTGAATCAGCTTCACCTATACATTGCGCCATCATCAGTGGAGGCTGGTTTTAGGACTGATTTGGGCATGAACTTCCACCTTGGGATATGTGTTTGTGGTATTCATATTAGGTACACATCTCTCTCTTAGTTTGGTTTCAAATCTGGTCCGGTTCAGTGTAAGAACGATCTGGAAAAATGCAGTTTTTTCAAAACATAAGAAATTCGATTCCCAGAAGGATTAGAAAATTTTTGAAATTTCGCCTAGCCATTTATCACGGTTCAGCCATCCTTATGATGGATCCTAACCCTTCCAACATCTAGTTCATCCAAATTAGAGTTATGCATTAAACTGAGCAGTGTGAAAAATAAATTATAAGTTCACATTTTAAAATGAGTCACTACAGGAATGCCACCTAGGTTGCAAATATTGAACACACGGATAATGCTAGGGGCGTATTGGGTGTTTCAACCCCATACACCTTTTTCTTTTATTTATTTTTTTTCAAAACCTGTTTAGAGGGGTCAGTCTAGGCTTCTCTACCCCCTGAAGCAGGACTAAAATCAAAGCTTATATATTTGGCATATCGGTGACCCACGGATGCCATGCATTATCTGCAAATACGTGATGAAATTTTCAACCTTGATTGCCATTTTTGTCATTTCAGCATTTTTATCATTGTTAGTGTAGTTGAACTGGTTATTTCCTACTGCTTATATAGAGTTGAGAATACAACTTTCTGTTCTTATTTATCTATTCATTTATTTTTTTTTGGTGGGTGGGTGGGATATCTATGGTAAAAGCTTCATCGAAAGGATAATTTTGATAAAACAAAACTCAAAAATGTATGTGGATTTAGAGTTTTTTTTTGTTTTTTATTCTTTGGGGGCGGGGGTATGGTAAAACCTATGTAACAAGGATAGAGGCATCTGACGTGGTGGCTTCTGATAAACCAAAACTCATAAATTTATGTGCATTTACTTGGTATGTATTAAGGGAGCATCCTAAAGTAATTTTGCTAAAGTGTAAAATAGGACTATGCTATGGATAGCTCTCTCTCTCTCTCTCTGACTCTAGTGGAAGATTCCATATTGATGGGCGTGGAATCCTGTTGGGTATCGATTAAATGAAATATTTCAATTAGAAGATCAAATGCACCAGTGTCAATTACTTTTGCAGGCACTTTTTGCATAGATATGAAGATTATTATGACATGCACAGAAATTGACAATAGATTACAAGGCAATTACTAGAATATGAGGATCTTATTTGTCTTGAGCCTTGACATGTCAAGTTGCATAGAGTAAAGATAGGTTCAAGGTGGTTGGATTCTAATTCCATCTTACTAACAATCATGGGATTTTTAAACTCAACCACCTTAGAAAAATACCATTTTTCTGATCTCTAAATTGATGTATATGGCCTTGATGCTTTTTAACTGTTTTGCTTAAATCTTGTAGGAATTCATAAGGAGATTACGTTCTTTGTATTCTCTCACAGCCACCAACTCATCATGTAGTGTAGAGACACCTTTGTTAGCAGAAAGAAACAATGCTTGTGCATCTAGCAAAGAATCAACTATTTCTGGATTTGAAGGGTCTTCAAGAACTTCAAAAGCTGGGATTCCATCAAGTGGAGAGATAAATACAAAACAAGCAACTTCAAAACTGTCTAAACAGATAGGCTTGTGTTTGTGGTGGTTCCGCAACATTACTCTGAAAATTGGCAGTGCTCAACTGGTTATATCTCATGGAAAGCTTGTGCTTTGGGCCTCATTCATTGTTTTCATTTATTATGTTCTCCGAAAGAGGCAAGCTACTTTGAAAGGGTAAGAGACTTTCCTTGAGTTGTGGACTATTACCTTTTTCAAGGGGCCATTGCATGGTGTAATGGTAAAATGCCAGATTGACAAGCATGAGAACGTGGGTTTGAGTCTGTGAGATGCCATTTTGTCCACCCCCCCCATCCAGTCCACCCGTCCCAAGACCCAATAGCTGGGACCAACACTGGGTAATGACCTTTTTATAAATTGATAGCCTTTCACGTGCATTGGTTATAGTACTTCAAAACCACAATATGAATGCTAACATCTTGGGTTCGTTATATTAGTTAATTGAAAAAATGATATCAAGTCATTAAATTTCTAATGCCTAAAGCTAAAACCTCAGGGAAACATTCTTAAAACAAGTAATTTTCTGTGTCCTAAACAAAAATGAAAACTAAAAATCAACTTAATACATAAACCAAATTTAGTTAGGTTCACTGGTTGAATAAATTATATGGAATTACTTGCTTTATGCATCGATTTTTCTATTGTGTGACCACTCTGAAGATATGGGTTGGGGATTCTTATTGGACCAAATGGAGAGTTAAAACATGAAAAAACTTGCCGATGCTTTGAAGCTTTGTTGAGTTCTTTATCATTTGGCCCATAGGATTCTTAAATGGGCTGTATGCTTAGCTATTAATTGCTTATATAGATTATTTTCATATTGGTAGCTCTAACAACATTATGAGATACTTAATAAACAATTTATTTGTAATTGAACATATTGCATTCTCGTCATTGTAAGATGGTTGACAACTGAAAACATCGCAATGGGGGGCATATCTATTCATAGTCATGACCGAGAACTTCTCAATGAAGGCACGAGTATATTTTTCATTTGATTGAACTTTCTTTCCCGTTTCATGTTCATTAATTTATTCCTTTATTCTCTTTCAGAATTGTCAGCAGACAAGCTTTAATTGTGAAAAAATCTCTGGTAGATATGTGGAAGCTTGCATTTTCTGTTCAAGTGAACCCTCTTGCTGCTGTCCAACCTCTCCCTACGACAGCACACAGAAGCAGGTGAAATTCCCATGTCATCAGATGTCCCTTCACATCTAAGCCATTGATCACAATCTGTAAAAACATAGCAAAGGGATCTTGTATCTTCAATTTCACAAAATAATATCCTCAAGTTGAAAGCCACATTTCTGGCCTTTGGTGTTTTTTTCCTGGGGCGGAGGGTTTCACTTTTGAGATGATAGTTGCAATTCAATTTCAGAGGTTTATTTTTATTGCTGGGAGGTGTGTTCTTAACCCCCACCTTTCTCCAATGTATTCTTTTTGTTGTTTCCTTTTATTGTCTATGATAGGATTTCATTTGCTTTTCCTTTGTATTTACTATTTAGTGGTCTTTTAACTTGATTTATCATCTTGGTGCGTTTATTGGTGTATAATTTTCTTTTAGAAAAAAATATCTTATAGTATTAATTGGATAATGAAATGTAACCATTGAAGAGCTTTTCTTACTTGCTGATACCTAATATGAAAAATGCCAGCATTTATTAGTGAACCTACTGACAACTTCTTCTGAAGATTGTAGACTGTAGTTCCCTTTCACTAAAAGGATATCTTGATTCTGCGCATATAGTTCTGTTATTCCGTGCATGGGTTTTGACATTGGAGACAGAAGTAGCTCATCTGTGGCTCCTGTTTCTTGGTACGGAAGAATCATGAGACGTCTTATGGAATTAGCACCCTATGTCCTATACAAGTACCGAACCAAAACTTGCAGGAATGAAGCAAATGGCTAGGCTATTTCGTTGGGGGTCAAATCCGTTGATATAAAAAATGGATAACCTGTGTCTTAAAAACGAACTTAGGCCCCATTCCTTTTTCGATATGTTACTTATGGGTAAATGTAGTTACCTGTTTAAGTTTTACCACGAAATACTTACCTGGGTAAGTATATTTACTCATATTCTTTTAGTTCTCATGTAAGTAAGGCAATGACTAAATCAAAAAAATCTATTATTAAAAAGAACATTTTTGTCTCATACAAGTGTTGGCAACTTTTCTCTTAGGTGGGAAAGTTATTTACCCATTTGGGAGATAAACTTTCCTTAGTTCCCACATAAATCTGAAAAAAAAACATGGGATTCTTGGTCAGTGGGAACCAAAATCTCATTGACCAACTTTCCTCTCTCAAATTCTGAAAAAAGAACGTCCCCTTAAAGATTGTTGAAAAAAAAGAGGAACTTAAAGACTGGAACACCCATTTACACTTTTACCCAGTGGTGTCTTACCATTGATGGCAAGGTTCAAAGTTTGGATACATATTGGCCCGTATGTATCGGGCCAATGGTTTATCGATACATCCCTCCAGGGGTTGTATTGGGTCGGACATTGGTTCAGAGGGTAGTCAGGCCTTAAACCGATTCCTCTAAACTGATTTTGAAAAAAAAATAAAACTTAAAAAAAGTACCGATATAGGCCGATATACCCTACCGGTTTATCGACCTATATCGATACTTTGAACCTTGTTTGATAGTCTGGGGGACCTTTGTTTTAAAGGGTGTATCATGGATTTTGTGGACTCTTCCAAGACTAGCAATTGGAGACACTCATCTATATATATGGAGATTAAATGAATAACCAAGATTCTAGTTGATTAGTCGTGCTAGGAATTAGGATGATGACATTTTTTCCAGTATCAATTGTTAGAATCGCTAGACATTTTGATTTATATTCACATATTTTGCTACCATTAATAGCCTTGTAAAAGGCTATCTTTCAATTATTTCTATTTGATGAATATATAGTATTATGGCTATTATTTAACACTCACGCTTAACCTCAACAATTCTATTAGCTCACTTCGAATAGTCCCCACACTATCATTAACATTTATAATATTTTTTTTAATCTGTTAAGGCAATTTATTCACTAACGCCCTGTTCACTTTTCGGTAAGTTATTTACTTGGGTAAAAGCAATTATCTGGGTAAGTTTTCTTGGAAATACATACCCAGGTTAGTGCGTTTACCAATGTTCTTTTATTTTTTGGGTAAATAAGGCAATGGCCATTTTAGCCATAGAAATCCATTATTAAAAGGGACATTTTTGTCCCATTCAAGTGTTGGCAACTTTCCCCTTATGTGGAAAAGTTATTTATCCACCTAAGGAATGGGTATCACTTTCTTGGGTAAGTGGTACCCAAGAAAATAAACTTTCTCTGATCCCCACATAAAGTTGAGAAAAGAACATGAGATTCTTGGTCAATACTTGAGCCTTACTTCGGGAGGGGAACAAATGGGTGGTAGCTTCATGTGAGTTACAATTAGGGGTGAATTCGAGCTGAGCTGAGCCAAATAGTACGAGGCTTGAGCTTGGCTTGCCAAGGTAGTACAAGGCTCGAGCTCGGTTCGAGCTAGAACCTTGAGCTTGAGCTTGGCTTGAGCCAAAAACTTGTAAGTTCGAGCTCGGCTCGGCTCGATTTGAGAAAAAAACGTTTTAGAAAAATAAAAAATTATATATAAAAACTTTTTTTATTTGATTTTTAAAAAATTAAGAATTATAATATTTTCTATAATTATATATAATTATATAATTATAAAAATATTATTTTCTATATATATATATATATATTTGAGATCGACTTGCGATCCTCACGAGTCGAGTTCTATTAGGCTTGAGCTCGACTCATTTATTAATCGAGGCTATAAATTGGGCTCGAGCTTGGCTCGAAGCTCTATTGAAATTGAGCTGAACCGAGCTTTTCACGAGCCAAGCTCAAATAGCTCGTGACCACCCCTAATCGCAATAAAAGAATTAGACGGGTCTCTATTTTGGTAATGATGAACTAAGATTCATTAATTTAAATAATACAATCCAAGAACTCCAGCTCCAAAGGAAACAGAGCTTAAATTCTCCACTCACCTATAGTTGGGAAAGACAAATTAGCTAAATCATGAGTGAACAAATTTAGACTTCTCTTAATAAAAACAATACAACAACAATCAAAGGAAACAGTTTACCAACCAATGTCATGAACAATACCCCTCAGCTTTAAATCCACTACTTCAGAATTTTCCATGAGTTTCTCAATCATCGAATTGCAATCAGAAAAAATGCCGGACCTGTCTAACTCTAGATGAGATGGCCAGAGGAAGTCCAACCAAAAGAATTGTTGCTAGTCTTGCATAGGGCCCTAAAGTAGTACAATGGCTAGGACCCAAACTAATAGTAGCAGTATGACTCATGTTAAGACCCCTTTGAGTTGGAAGCACCTGATGCAGGTCCCTGCAAAGGCAATAATAATAAGCCAAAACATCATTAGTAGTAATTGTGGTCTACTCATGAAGAATACTATTTCTTCCTTCCAAATTGCCCGTAATGAAAGAGCACCATAGCAAGCTCAGTCAACTCCATCTTGGAACAAGCAAACACCAGAATAATCAATTATTCTAGTAGATGCACAGTGAGTGCAACAACCCCATCCACATTTACTTTAAGAAGAGGTTAATCAGGATGCTACTAATGGAAAGAATAAAAGCACATGAGTAGGAGGATTGTCATAGTTGTTGAACTATGCTAAGTCAACTGCCAACCCTCCAATTCAGTCAATTGAGCTTCAGTTAAAGCTATAATAGGGAATGATTATCTTGGGTTTTGATCTCATTAGAGATTAAATCCAATGGGTATTTGATTGATAAATTACATAAAAGGCACATATACACATGCATTTGGAAATGATTTTAAAATTCCCACAAAAACTCTTTATTTTGGCTAGTTTTCTCTTTCTTTAAGACTTGTCTCACATTTAAAAATGACCAAAACTTTCTTTGGGGTTTCAAATAAGAGCTTGTTTACACTCTTTAAAACTATAGAGGAGAATATAGAGACTTGTTATCACGCAACATGTGTATGTACAACGCAACGAGGCGTACTTTGCTTACACTCTCATAGGTTGTATGTAATGATTATATTTTAGTGCGATGAGAAGATTTGCAATGATGCAACATGAAACCGTAGACTGTGATTTAGTGAAATCACAAATTGCAAGTTATGTTATTTGCGAAATTGCAAATCGAAAATCACGAGTGATATCATTTGTGAAATCACAAATCACAAGTTATGTCATTTGCAAAATTGCAAAATCACAAGTTGTGACTAGAAATTCGTAAATAGCAAATTGAAAAAATTGCATCTAGTTTGGACCACACATTTGAGTATCGAAGGCTGAATCATGACCGTTAACATTTCAAGTTAATCCAACAGTCATGACTTGATTTGGTGACATTGTTCAAATGTTAACAGTCATTAATTGTTAACTAACTGTGAATAATCACAGAATTTGAATTCACGACTATATAAAGAACCTCTTAAGATGGACACACTCATCTTTTTGACGATTCTCCAAAACTTATAAAAGGGTGTAAATCAAGATGATCTATACACAATTTTTCATTGACGTTTCACTGGAAATCACCCTTAAATCTTTTAGTATAATCTTCTATTCTCATAGAAGACTTTTTTGGAGATTCTTTAACTTTGCTAGTTGCACTTTTTCACCTAAGAGTTTGTTGTATTTTAGGAACAAATTTGCCAGTAACTCAACAATTTGAGTGGGGGCAAATAAAATTCTAAAGATTGTCTTTAGATATGCCTTATAGTTTCTCCTCTAAATTGTGTAACTCCAATTTTTCCAACAATTTTAGAACATTATTTTGCTATGGAAGCGAAAGTCAGCATGCATTTGATTAAGATGATGAATCAGGACCTAGTTTGACTTGACTAGTTTGATGGAGGCATTTGGTATTTTCAGTTCAATGGCAAGCGAAAGGAGGTTTCACTTCTAAATGCCTTATCAAACCAGCTCTACAACTTTTACAAGGAATTTTCATCTCTTAAAGAAATATGGAAGGCTTTGGAATTCAAATATAAGGTGTAAGAGGCAGGTACAAACAAGTATTTCGTCATAGAATACTTAGGCTTCACCATGAACAACCATCCTATATTGGAGCATGTTCACGAGTTATAGGTGATAGTAAACAAAATTTGGTCCCTAAACATCACCCTTCCTATGTTGTTTTAAGTGGGAGCAATAATTTCCAAATTTATACCTCTTGGAAGTATTATAGGAGGAAGCTTCTGCACAAGGTAAAAGAATTTACCTTAAAACAAATTCAACAACACCTTCATATTGAAGAAGAGTCTTGAATTAGAGACAATAAAGATAAAACCCTAGCTGTATGCTAAACTCCAATGTTAACTTTATAGAAAATGGATCAAAGAAGGCTTTTCCTTCATTGCAAGTGAAGAAGGACGTGAACTTCAAGAAAAACAACAATAAAAAGGGATTTTGTTATGTTTGTGGAAAGAAATGGCACTATACTTGAGTTTGTGATCAGAAATGTGGAAACAAGCCCACAAACTAGGTGCC